TAGGAATCAAACCCAACATGCAAGTCAAGTGTCTTATCAACTGAGCTACATCCACAGCCTGCCTCCCCTTTTTATTTTGGATTTTTATAGTTGCATCACATCTGAAACTGGCCTGGAATTCACTATGTAGCCCAGGCAGGCCTTCATCTTCCAGCAATCCTCCTGCCTCAGTCTCCCAAGTGCTTGGATTACAGGTATATGCTATCATGCCGTGGTTGGGTCTGTGCAGCTTGTGCATGGGTCCTTTAGCTATGGGTCCTCAGTCTATGGTGATGGGTGTGCTGTCATGTCTAGGGTACAATGAATCCAAGTAGCAAAGGTAGCAACCAAGGAGGTACAGCTTTAGCCCATGCCAATTCCAGTTGGTTTCATTAGAGAATGAACCTTCACTATGGTTATCTATATGATTGACCCAACTGGTTCTATCACCTTTGTTTCCATGTTTCATGGTTCCAAGAAAGGAAATCTCTACCTTCCAGTCTGTAGTTTTCCAAATGGCACCAAACACATAGGCTACTGTCAACAGTCGGAGTCAGAAAAAATAGTATTGGCCAGTGCTGTGAGAACAGCTTTGAGTTCTGTCCACTAAGCGGAGCAAATACATCCATTTTCCTTGCCACACATTTGGTGAGGATGCTGCCATAACAGCCCTTGGGAACACCGCTGGTTTCAGCTTAGCAAACATCAGTGAGCCAGGGCCTGGCATAAAAAGAAACCTCTGTGAAGTGGGAGCTTCATGAATCATCCATCGGCTTGCTTTGGGCTGTGGAGCAGAGGATAAATTTACCAAAGGAACAACAGCTATCCCTGCTCCCAACCCCCACATCAACAGAGCTGAATGTCAGGCCAGTGTATTGCAATACACTGTAGTACTGTGACACAAAAGGCTGGTTAGGCCCTACACACATGCATGCTAGATTAGATGCTGAATCAGAGTTAGCCCACCTCAAAAGGGGAGTATCTGTCATGAGGCCTTGATGGGTACAAGTTGGGTTACTTCGCCAAGCAGTTTTTTTTTAATTAATTATGTGTGTGCATATACTATAGCACATGTGTGGAGGTCAGAGAACTACACAATTGACAATTGGTCCTCTCTCCTTCTACCATGAAGATATGTTCCAGGGATTAAATTTAGATGAGTCTAGACAATAGGTTCTTTACCTATTGTAAAGAGCACAGCACCACCGAGGCACAGCACCACCCTCACCCAGGTGTTCAGTCTTAATGAGAACTTAGAAGCAATCTCAAGAGTTGTTTTCAAAAGGATTATGTCAGCTGAGTGTGGTTGTGCACGCCTCTAATCCCAGCTGAGGCAAATGAGGAAGATCAGGAGTTTAAGGCCAGCTTTTTCTACATAGGAAGTTCAAAACGAATCTGGGTTATGAAAAACAAAAACAACAAAAACCCTACCTGTTTCAAAAGGCGAGAGAGAGCGAGAGAGAGAGAGAGAGAGAGAGAGAGAGAGAGAGAGAGAGGTATTATTCCCATCCTAGGAGCAGCAAATCCCAACACCACCATAGAACCACCACGCTGTGGAGGCTACTTCCCTTTGATCATGCTAGTCAGCAAAGGGCAAAGACTTAGTTATCTCACAGCAACCATTAGGGTTGTGGGGTCCCAAAGATGGGAGCACAAGTCTATATGAAGCAATTTCCATGATTCCTTTAACATTTATGAGCATGTGACACATTAATGGAAAACAAGTGTATACTTTGTACACCCACAAGGGAAAGCCACAAAGCAGTACAAGGAACGTGCTCAAAGCCCAACCCACAGGGTTTTCCTAACTCTTTCTTCTTCCTGGAAGAGAGAAGGACACTACAGTTGGATCAATTTTCTCACCCATTTGCTTAGAGATGTAGGTGTTGACTGGGACACATGCAATTTGCACATAATAGTTACTTCTTGATTCTTTCAACCAGAACTTACTGGTTGGCTGTTATGTGCAAGAAACTATTTTATGTACTAAAATATCACCTATGCACAAGACTCAGCTGTGCTCTACAGCCATATTCTAGTGGGAATATCAGCTAAAAAGTGAAAGTATCACTGGGTGATGAGTGGCGTAGAGGGAAGCAGGAAAGAGGAGTAAAAAGCACCAGAAATGTGAGTTTTCTTTTTGTCTCTTCTGAAATAAAGCCTTGTTGTGTAGCCTAGATTTACCTGGAACTGTGTAGCACAGGCTAGCCTCAAACTCATACCCTCTGGCTCTAGCATCCTGGCAACAAGGGGAGAGCACCAAACCTGAGTTTGCTAATTCATGTAGAGTGGCCAGGGACTCTCAGACAACCAAAGGGTCTCAGAAGTAAGACCTAGAAACATCTGGGGAAAGTTGAGTCTAGGCCTGGGGAAAAGATGGGGGTGGGGGGCAGCCTACACACTATGTGACATGGCAGCAAGGTCTGTGTGGCTGAAGTAGAATAACTCAGGAGACTTGGAAAGGATGCAGAAATCACAGGAGGGTTCCATGCCTTTTTATGATTATGAATAGACTGGCTTAATAAAAACTTGCTGATCACAAGTGTATGCTACTGAAACCTATCTATCTGGTACTCAAATTCTTTCTAATTTAAAAGCAACATGGTGCGGGGGTGGGGGGTAGGACAGGACTGGAGAGATGGCTCAGAGATGAAGCGCATTTATTCTTGCAGTAGACCTGGGTTTGGTTCCCAGCATCCATATGGTGGCTCACAACCATCCATAACTTATGCTCTTCTGACTTCCGCAGACAGCAGGCATGCACGTGGTATACACACATTTTTTAAAAAATTAAAAGCAAACTAGGGAGCTGGGTAAAAGGACGTGCTGCACTTCATGACTTGAGTTCTATCCCTGGAACTCACGTTAAAAGCAGCAGAAGCCGGGCAGTGGCACACGACTTTAATCCCAACACTCGGGAGGCAGAGGCAGGGGGATCTCTGAGTTAGAGGCCAGCCTGGTCTACAAATCAATTCTACGACAGGCGAGGGTACCCAAAGAAACTCAAAAAACAAAAACAAACAAAAAAGCAGCAGAAACAAGAGGCCCTGTATCAACAGGTAGAAAGTTGAGAGCCCAATCGTAAAATTGTCTTCTGACCTCCACATGTATGAACCCCAACTCACACAAGTAATCCTTTTAATTAAAAAAGCATCACTATACAATAAGAGCTATGGTAGTACTATTCTTTTAAAAAATTAAGTAAAATAAACTGAGTGAAGACAAGTGATTTTTTTTTCCTCCCCAAGATGTCTCATGGAGTTGAAGGCAATCCCAAGCCTGACTTAAGTCTATTGAAGTCGCTTACACAAAGAAATGAACAAGTCTATCGTTCTATTTCTAACACAATATATACACACACAGATGCAGGTAGTAATACATTTGCATTCATTTGCACCCTTATATGAACTGCCTTCCCAGCCCCCGTTATTTGCACATATTTTTGGTAGGAATGGATGCTTCGATTCAGAGGCTCAGCCAAGAGAGTACTTGCCTCACTTCCCAGCCTTGTACCCATGGATGAGCTCTCTAACTCGTGCATCAGAACTTAGAGACAGGTGGTGAGAACTGACACGGTTGAAAGTGTCACTGTTAAGCCATTTTAAATGGTGAAGTAAGTACAAAGGTGTTACACGCTCTTCTTGGAAGACTCAAAGGGTGCTGCACGCCTGTAGTTAAAGCATTTAGGAAGCTGGGGGCAGGGTTGAAAGTTTGAGTCCAGACTGAGCTATATAGAGAAATTGTCTCAAAAAAAAAAAAGAAAAAAAGAAAAAAGAAAAAAAGAAGAAGAAAGTAAGTTCTCCAAGAACTACCAATTGCAAAATAGCAACCATCTAAAGACACAAGGTCATTTGGTTACACCACAAAGAGGAGGGTTCTGAATCATGATAGAGAGGATCCCAGAGACTCAAGGGCAGTATTTAAAAGCACAAAGGCCTGGAGCCCAGAGATAATCAAAGCTGCCTTAGATCAGACAGGATTTCCATGGCACACACTCCCAAGGAATCTTTCCTCCCATTCTTTATGAAGACTAATCCCATGACCCAACAGAACCGATATTAGCTTTTGGTTCCAGGACAATAGGGCCACTAAAGATTCAATCTCTTCATACAGCTGATTGGACAGCCTAAGAGGCTCTGTAGGAAAAGCCCCTGTGGTGCTCAACAGACTAGAGAAGGAGAAAGAAAAGGGAGACTACAGGAAGAAGTACCCAGAGGCTCTAGGGCCACCTGGCAGTCCTCATTGTGGGGTTCATCAGTATAGATGCTACATGCTAAGACATTGGCAGGGGAGCGCTCCAACTTGAATATGCCTCAGTCCTACTGACAAGGAAGAGATATGTTCTTCCAGGCACCAAACACAGCACAATGATCCCACCAATGAAGAAGGCGACAGGCAGCAGTAAGTATGGCAGTGGGAACCAGGCAGGACATGCTGAACATGGTGATGCTAGGAGGCAGAAGGGAACCTCTCAAATGCCAAGCTTCTAAAGTAGGAGGTCACATCTATCAAGGATCAATCCCAATGCCCACTAAGGTTGTTTTACTATTTTAAGCAGTACTGGATGTAGTGCAATGGGAATTCTGTGGCCAGATGTTTCTTTTGAAAAATACCTTTATGAAAGTTAGTCTATTAGCTACTAATCACAGAAGAGTAAGCCACAGCCCACTTCATCACCTAAAGACCTTTGAGGGTGCCAGAAGGGGCCTCTAATTTCTTCCAACAGAAACTCCAATAGGAAGCAGATGGCTAGGACAGCAAGGGATAAAAGGTACAGAAGAGCTGACATGAACATTCACTGTATCAGCCTAGGGTGGGAATGAGATGCAGACTAAGGATCGTGGCCTAGGCGCTGAGGCTCAGTGGTAGAGCCTAGCATGCTCCAGGTCCTAGGCTCAGCACCAGAGAGAGAGAAAAAAAAAAAGTAAAAAGCAATGAAGTCACAAAAGTAGGGATGTGAGCAGAACCAGTTACTCCTTCAGAGTATGATGTTCATTTGTTTAGAAAATGACCAAGGAAAGGAAAGGGAAACTAACATTTATTGAGCACAAATATATATATACACATATATACAGATATATAATGGATGCTGGTCTTGTGCAAGGAATTCCCAGCTACAATATTCCATTTGATCCTCACACCAACCCTGTGAGGTAGGTATTATTCTCGTGTTTGTTGGATGAGGAATATGAGGCTCAGAAAGTTTAGAGTAGTTTGTTTAAAAACACAGAACCAGTGAACTGGGACTGAGTCTTAAGTCTCAAACTCTACCCTTATTCTTTCCTATCTGCTTGAACACTGCCCCTTCCTATCCATGTAGCCCATGGTTCCCCAACAAGAAGCCTGTCCCATCCTACCTTGGGAGGATGCAGTTAGTAATGGGGATTAAGACATAAATAAAAAATAAATTAACAGGGTCAAGTTCCCAGCCAGCACTGAGGATGTATCTTCCATACTCATGCTGTGGGAAGGTCACTGTGCCATTCACAGCTGACGGGGGTAGGTGGTGCAGCATGGGCCCTAATCCAGAGAAACTGGAACTACAGCTGCCAAAGGCTGCAGTGGGTGGGTTAAACAGGTCCCTTCTGGGCTGCATGGATTTGAGAAGAAAACGTCTGGAGCAGGCAGCAGTCGTGGGCAGTCACCGTCCTCCTCCATCTGTTTATTTCACCGGTGTTTGTGATCCAAGAGGGATTCAAAATCAGGAGAACATACAAGTTTGTGCTTCACATGTCCCAGGACTGTCATCTCCCCTGTCCTGCTGTCTCCAAGGCCCACAGACACCAGTTCCTGCCATTCAACAGAGACATCAGTTAGGACCACACACCCAACTCAGCCCTCAGTCCTGAGTTGCCCTCCCAGCCTCAGCCCTGGCTGCTTAATACTCCCCCAAAGCCACTCCCTGGCCCACAGGGGTCGCACCTGCAGGAAAGAGCAGGTTGTTCCCATGGTCACATCCAGGGTCACCTTGCCCAGGAGGAGCTGTACCTTCCCCGATTTTCGGATGAGCAGCTTGCCCACTTGACCCTCTGTCAGGTCAGCCAAGGTACAAGCGTTCTCTGCCAAACGGGCTTCCTGTGGAGAGAAGCAGTAGATCAACACTGGTCAACAATTTTTATGAAGGAACCCCATTCAGTTTCCCAGAGAGAAAGGCACCAGCAGCAGAAGTTTCTGCAACGAGGACTGTGTGCTGGAGCTATCAGCCTGGAGTATCCCCAGAACTCGCTCTTGAACATACCCGGTCTTTTTCCTGCTTTATAACTACCATCTGTCCATCCTCGCCCTGCACCTCTGTCTTGATAGGCTTGATGTCCTGAGTGGGTGGCTGCCCAGGGAGGGTATCAGGCAGCTGAAGGAACAGCAGTTCTTCATCCTTCGAAAGGCTCAACTCCCTGAGCAGCTCTGCAACAGACACATCCTTTGGGAGACCAGGAGTCTTCCTGGCTGCTTTGGGAGGGGCCTTCACCTTGGCCTCCTCTTCCTCATCCCGCGGCTCCTCTTTCACTGTCCAAAGTGAGATAAAGGAAAAGACATCAAGTAGCTACCCAGAAAGCCAGCTCACTGTTCCCAACCCTTCACACCCATGTGTCCCACTGTTGCTCAGCCAAGAGGAGAAAGAAAGAAATCCAAGAGGTGTGCGACTTCTCTAAAATGGGACCGTTGAGGCCACGTGTACTGATATACAATGACAAGTAAACTCCGAGGAGAGAGTCTGTCTTTGTTCTGTGCCTATACTTCTGAGTGGGAATGAAAAGGCGGTGATTGTGAGGTGATGCAGCAGTCTTGGAGGTGATGTGAGAGCTCCAGGGATACCTTTTACAGAAGGCACGTCCACTTCCATGTCTTCTTCCTTAGGGCCAGCCGAAAAAGGCTTAACATCTGGCTCTTCACTCTCCTCCTTAAAAAGCCACCCTGAGTGAGCCAGTGGCAGCTGTACCGGCATGTTCCGTGTGTCATTCTTTAGCCCTGGGTCATCGATGAACTGCCAAAGAGTTGAAGTCACAGAGAATGTCAGCATATGTGCCCAGGTCACGGCCTATTACTTATCTCTCATGTTTGAACACGTGTGCGTACGTGCGTGTGCGTGTGCGTGTGCGTGTTACTAGGGACTAAATCTAGGGCCTCACACATGGAGACACCACTCTGACCACTGAACTACACCCCCAGTCCCACTCTAGTGCTTCTGTAACCAAAAGCTCCAGGACATCAATGAGCCCTGCATTCCCTGACCTAGCTCCCTAAAAAGCCCGATCTAGGAGCTACAAAGAAGCCTGTCGACATGTTGTGGAATATCACTTTAACAAAGATGTGTTACATTTGTTTGTGCTCCATTTGTTTAATGATGTAAAGGTGTGTTGCTTTGCTTGCCTAAGGCACCTCATTAGTCTAATAAAAAGCTGAATGGCCAACAGCTAGTCAGTAAAGGGATAGGTGGGGCTGGTGGGCAGAAAGAATATGAGGAGGGATCTAGGCTTGGGAGAGAGGGAGAGAAAAGGGAGAAAAAGAGGGAGACACCAGACAAGACACATGGAGGAAGCAAGAAAAGTAGGACATACAGAAAGGTAAAAGACCCCAAGGAAAAACGCTGATGAAGAGAAGCAGATTAATATACATTATAAGAGCTAGTAGGGGGGCTGGAGAGATGGCTCAGCGGTTAGGAGCACTAGCTGTTGTTCCAAAGGTCCTGAGTTCGATTCCTGGCAACCACATGGTGGCTCACAAACATCTTGAATGAGATCTGGTGCCCTCTTCTGGCCTGCAGGGCACATGCAGGCAGAATACTGTATACTTAATAAATAAAATCTTAAAAAACAAACAAACAAAACAAAAACAAAAAGCTAATGGGACAAGGCTAAACTAAGGTTAAGCAGTGTCTCCGTGTCATGATTTGAGGGCTAGCGTCTGAGAAGACCTGTTACACCTGTCCACCAGGCTTCTGGTACCTACATCATCCTTCTCCAGCATACGCAGGATCTGCTTGGTTTCTTCATCTGTTTCTCTCTTCTCTTTTTTGATGTTGATGATATGAGAAGGTCCCATGTCCGACATATCCACTGTCTTATCCCAGTTCCCTGTGGGAAATCATCCTGTTTACTAGGGATAGATAAGGAAGACGGCAACAGCAAGGAAAACCAAATTGGGAATGGAGAATTCTATTGCTCTGCCTTCTCCGGCAACCTGAACCGAAATCCAAAACTGATCCCTTCTGGGTACCTTTTTTTTTCATCATTTCTGCAGGGCCCTGCTCGAAGATAGAATGGGACTGGATCACTTCTGGGCGGCCACGTCCCCGTCCATGACCCTCACGCTGGCGGTCTCTATCCCGCTCACGCTTTTCCTTCTTCATGGTTACTTCTTCCTTTGGTCTGGAGGTGAGAACAGATAAAGGGGGCTGCCTCAGAAAACTAACCTTCCTTGCCCACCCCATTTCATCCAACTGAGCTGAGCTTGTGAGCCAGTAATAACATCCTGAACAGTGGAACCCAATCATTTGCTGGAACGTTTCTTTCATGAGGCAGAGTCTTTCATTTCCCTTTATTTTACCTTCTTGCCCAAAATGTGGGGTTTTTGTTTTATTTTTCATTGCCTGAAACAGAACGGCTGGGACGAAGAGGAACTTAAGGGCAAGTGTGACGATCTTAGCCCCACCTTAGCAGTATTAGAAGGCAGCCTAAACTATAAGAGCTAGATGGTTGTCCAGCCCCTGAAGTTTTCCTTTCCTTTCCTCTTCTCATTCCTGTCTTCCCTCAGGTACTCTCTGCCATGTATTCACTGTCACACCATAGGCCCAAAGTGAAAGAACCACTTGATCATGGACTAAAATCTACAAAACTTTGAGGTTCAAAATAAAATCTCCCTCTCCGTAAGTTAATTATCCCAGCTATGTATTACATTTTTAAAAAGAATAAGCCAGGCGTTGGTGGCGCATGCCTTTAATCCCAGCACCCGGGAGGCAGAGGCAGGCAGATCTCTTTGAGTTCAAGGCCAGCCTGGTCTACAGAACGAGTTCCAGGACAGGCTCCAAAATACAGAGAAACCCTGTCTCAAAAAACAAAACAAAATAAAAAAAAAAACCTCTAATACAAAGTACCTTGGAAGCAAGCAGATCTCTAAGTTCTAGGCCTGGTTTACAGAAAAGAGTTCCAGGATATGCAGGGCCAAGTAAAGACCCTGTCTCAATAACAAATGTGCCTCTACCTAATCTGGGATGAAGGGAGAACCATCAGTGAATAAGCCAATGGCATAAATTTAAATTTTTTTCTTTTTGTTTTTTTGAGACAGGGTTTCTCTGCGTAGCCTTGGCTGACCTGGAATTCACTGTAGACCAGGCTGGCCTCGAACTCACAGAGATTCACCTGCCTCTGTCTCCCAAGTACTGGGATTAAAGGCATGCGCCCCAGTTGCCAGGCATAAACTAAAATTTCTGAGCGACACACCTAAAGTCATAGCGATTCAGGTTAAGTATTCATTAGTCCTAGCTACTTACTCTTCTTTGATCTTCCGACTGATGATGTTTGGGGTGAAGGTTTTCTGAAAAGTAAAATACAATAATAGTATTTTCCAAGTGCTATATAGACCAGTCAGTTTCATTGGGGAAACAATTCTGGGAAGGCTTAGAAAGACAGATCTGTCAGTGCTCACAAATGGATGATATGGTATACTATTACCAGAAGTATCCAAGGCAAAGCTAAGTAGCTTTATTCTTGTGTCTCTGTGCTTTTTCCTTTCAGAACTATTCATTAAATGCACAGTTATGTACAAAGAGCAGCTAAGGCCATGCCTACGAGTCATCACACTAGAATAGTAGTTTCGGTTCTGGCATCCAAAGAGTTCTGAACACTCAAAACTGCAAGTTAAAGCTTATGGCTGCCTGACTTTCATGGGATTTCCAAAGGTGTCCAAAACACAAGAAGCACTTTTGGACGTCCTGAATTAACTAGCTTCTCTGCCTTTTAATTGCATGTGAAACCAACCCAGTATCTTGTACCAAGACTTGAAGGTCTCCCTAGAGGTTGACATGGCATCAGGGAACATGTAGGCCCTACAAAATACATCAGGAGTTACATCCCTACGGCTTGGAACTCAAGGTATTTGGGTTTCTGTACAAACAAGCTCGCAGGTACCTTCTTGACTCCGCCAAGGGTGAGGTCCCGGGAGCGAATGGAGGGAAGGCGGCCCGGAGTAAGCGGGGGTGCAGGCCGCCGGCCGATCAGCCCCCGACCCCCAGAGAGAAGGGGTCGCGGCCCTCCAGGGTTGCTGGGCTCGCCCGCTGCGTTTCCTTCCGACATGGTGCCTGCAGGAAAATGGGCAACCAAGTGACTCCAAGGGTGGGACGCGCGGACCCTGGGCGGAACTCCACCCACGTGGCCTCCCGCCCCCCGTCCGTGCGTCGTTCTCGATGCGCCTCAGCTCCTCCCCGTCCCACGTGGCGAGGCTCCCCGGAGCGCCCCACCCCTGGCTTTGGTCTCGCCACATGCCCTCATCCCGGGACCGCCGGACGCACCTGTGCTGAAGCTCCACGCCGAATGTCACGACCTCACCTCCGACACGACCCGCCACCGGCACCTGCTCTCCCAGCCAGACGGAAGTCTGCGTGGCAGGGACCGGGCGCTGCCATTTTGCCCCGGGGCGGAAGTGACATCAAAGAGGCGGGACCGAGCCATAGTATTTATCCGACGGCGCCTCGCTACCCTCCGCCTTCTCTTCCCGGTTCTTCCCGGAGTCGGGAAAAGCTGGGTTGAGAGGGCGAAAAAAAAAGGATGAAGGGCTGGAACGTGCGCTGTGCGGGGATGTGATTCGTGGGGGCGTGTCTCGACCCCCGCAGGGGGTGGAGGCGTGGTCCTCAGGGTCGGTGGTGGGGTTCCAAGGTCGGCCACCTGCAGTGTGTGGAGTCCCCACTGTGCATCCTCTGGGGGCAGCGGGGTCGCCGCTCGGAATGGGGCTAGGGCTGGGGACACAGCGAGTGGCCTCATGCCCAGGCCGCCTGCCGCTTCTCTGCGTTGACCTTGGAGTTGTCACTGTCCTTCTGGGGCTTGTCCCTTTGCTCGCCAGTGCCTTCCCTTGCCCTCCCTTGGGTCCTGGGGTGTGTCATCCTCAACGCAGCTGAGCAGAGCAGCCAGTAGTTCTTCTCACATACCTGGGCTCATGACTGCCTGGTCAAAGTCTGGGAAGAGTCTGGACCCGAAGTCTGCCTTTCTAGTGGAAGGGGGGGGGGCGTTGTTTGTTTATTTTAAAAAGGCCCTACTGTGTAACCCTATCTGGTCTGGAATTTAAGTAGACCAAGCTGGCCTCGACTTGTAGTCCTGTCTCTCTATCCCCTCAGTGCTGGGATTACAGGTGTACATCACCAGTCCAAGCTGAAAAAACTTTTATGGTAAGGGATGGTTGTAAATATATGGTCCTGCCGGGCATTGGTGGCACACGCCTTTAATCCCAGCACTCAGGAGGCAGAGGCAAGTGGATCTCTATGAGTTTGAGACCAGCCTGGTCTACAAGAGCTAGTTCCAGGACAGCCTCCAAAGCCACAGAGAAACCCTGTCTCCAAAAACAAAACAAAATAAATAAATAAATAAATAAGTTCCTTTAATGTTAAATCCCAATGACTCCCAATGCGACTAAAAACAGTAGCAACGTTATATAGTTCTAGGGAAGGAGACTATTCCTGCTAGAATTCCATACACTGCTAGTATTAAAATATTTGTGATGTACTGTCATATTGTGCCACATACTGTATCCTTTGTTGGTGTCTATTTCTCTGATTGGGCACTTCATTTATATGGGTATTTCCTTGTAAATAACTGCACTGTACATTGGATACATTCAACCTTTTTGTTGGCAAGAGAAGATGTACATTTTAAAAGTAAGTTTGGGGGTCATACATATGCAGTTACTTAAAAAAAAAAAAAGGAAAGAAAAACTGATTTGGAAAGCCAGTCATATTGGTGCATGCCTGTAAACTCAGCACTTAGGGGGCAAAAACAGGCGGTCTCTGTGAATTCAGTCCAGCTGGGACTACAAAATGAGATCCTGTTTCATGTGATGATGATTATAATTGATGGTGGTGGTGGTGATGATGACAGTGATGCAGCAGAGAGAGCCCAATTCTCTTTCCTTTGTTCCCCGCAATAGTAAGATCTATTGCTTACATCCAACCCAGAATATTGACATTTTTACAGACATTTTCAACACTACAGGGATCCCTGTAGCTGCCCTTTTAATACAGCCTGCCTTACTGCTGAGCCTTCTTTTCTCCCACTCCTCCCACCACTAATCTGTTCTCCCTTTTTTCTTTTTTTTTTTTTTCTTTCGGGTTTTTCTAGACAGGGTTTCTCTGTATATCCCTGGCTGTCCTGGAACTCACTCTGTAAACCAGGCTGTGCTTGAACTCAGAGATCCTCATGCCTCTGCTTCCCAAGTGCTGGGATTAAAGCCATGTGCCACCACTGGTCAGCCAATCTCCATTTCTATAATTTCGTTATTTCAAAAATATTATAGGCCAGGTGGTGGTGGCGCACGCCTTTAATCCTAACACTCAGGAAGCAGAGGCAGGCAGATCGATGTGAGTTTGAAGCCAGCCTGATCTGCAGAGCTAGTTTCAGGACACCAAAGGCAGTTACACAGAGAAATTCTGTCTCGAAAAACAGCAAAACAAAATTCTAAAAATGGAATCATACAATATGTGACTTGCTTTGTTGTTGTTGAGGCAGGGTCTTATCATGTACTCCTGGCTGACCTGCAATTCACTATAGAGACAAGGCTTGACTTCCAACTCACTGAGCTCTGTCTGCCTCTTCCTCCTCAGTGCTAGAATTGCTGGAATATGCCATCATGCTCAGTTTCTATGGCTGCTTTTTTATCTCTGTAATTCTGTGGCATTATCCAAGTGGTGTATATCATTGGTTTGTTCCTTTTTCTGCTGAATAACTGTGGTTTATCCCGTCCCTTGAAAACATCTGGGTTGTTTAGTTTGTGGCTATTATGAATAAAGTTGCTGTGAGCAAATGTACAAAATTTTGTGTAAGTACAAATTTCCATTTCTCTGGAAGGAGTTCACCTGTTGATTTGTATGATTGTATGATTTGGGGGAAAAAAACACAACAAACTCTCTTCCACATTGGGTAGACTATTTTTGATGATATTTTGTGGTTCATCACTGATACTACTAAATCATTTTCAAAAAGTATTTGCAGTAGAGGGCTGGGAAGATGCCTCCATGATTAAGAGCACTTGCTTTTGTTCCCAGATCCCAAGTGGCTCACAGCTGTCTATAATTCCATTTTCAAGTGGTCTGGTGCTCTCTTTTGGCCGATGGGGGTACCTGGGAAGCTCAAAGTACACAAGCATACATATGAGCAAAAACACTTATACACATAGAATAAGAACAAATAAATCCCCTTTTTAAAAGTACTATACTAGCTGGGTGGTGGTAATGCACGCCTTTAATCCCAGCACTTAGGAGGCAGTGGCAGGCTGGAGAGGTGGCTCAGAGGTTAAGAGCACTGACTGCTCTTCCAGAGGATCCAGGTCCAGTTCCCAGCACCCACATGGCAGCTCACAGCTGTCTGTAACTCTAGTTCCAGGACCTGGTACCCTCACACAGACAAAACACCAATGCAAGTAAAACATAAATAAATAAATAAATAAATACCTTTAAAAAATAGGGGAGGGCCTCATGGATCCCCACTTTTCTCTGAGGACTTTCCAGGTAGTTAAAAGTCGATGGGAGAAAGAAAAGATGTGATTCTTCAGTGGTGTGGTCATTGGTAAGATGCTTCTGTTCCTTTAAAGAGCCCTAATGAAGCCCATTGGATTACATGCACAAATATAGAAAAGCAGAGCGGCAACTCAGAAGAGGACGAGGATTAGTAGAATAGCGTGCTGGCTAGTTTTATGTTAACTTGACACAAGATAGAGCCATTGGAGAGGGGGAGCCTCAGTTGAGAAATGCCTCTATAAGGTTGGGCTGAGCCGGGCGTTGGTGGTGCACGCCTTTAATCCCAGCACTCGGGAGGCAGAGGCAGGTGGATCTCTGTGAGTTTGAGGCCATCCTGGTCTACAAGAGCTAGTTCCAGGACAGCCTCTAAAACAAACCCTATCTCGAAAAACCAAAAAAAAAAAAAAAAAAAAAAAAAAAAAAGAAAGAAAGAAAAAAAAGGTTGGGCTGTAGGCAAGCCTGTAGATGATCTTAATTAGTGATTGATGGGGGAGGGCCCAGCCCATTGTGGGCAGTGCCATCACTGGGCTGGTGGTCCTGGGTGCTATAAGAAAACAGGATGAGCACATCATGATGAGCAAGCCAGTAAGCAGCTCCCCTCCATGGCCTCTGCATCTGCTCCTCCTCCAGGTTTCTGCCCTGCTTGAGCTCCTATTCTGACTTCCTTTGATGGTGAACTATGATGTGGAAGCATAGGCTGAATAAACTTTCTCCCCAAGTTTCTTTGGTCGTGTGTTTTTATCAAAGCAATAGTTACCCTAAGACAGACGGGGCAGGGGGGGGGTGCAACAAGAGAGGATGAGGGAGAAATAAAAATAATCAAAATGTATGGTCAATTATCTGGCAATGTTTGTGGAATTTCCAGACAGAATACAGATATTTAACATACTGTTTGTTTTTATAGGGTCTTCTGTTTCCTGGCTGATCTCTAATTCGATAAGTAGCCATTTAGCACCTTGAATTTCTGGTCCTGCTGACTCTACCTCCTAAATACTGAGATTATAAGTGTGTGCCATAGTTATTTTTCTATGGCTGTGATGAAACACCATGACCAAAAGCAACTTGAAGGGGAAATGGTTTGATTTGGTTTACATAACCTGAATCACAATCCATTGAGGGAAGCCAAAGCAGGAACTCAAACAGTGCAGGAACCTGGAGACAGAAGTTGATGCAGGGGCCATGGAGGGGAGCTGCTTACTGGCTTACTCTCCATGGCTTGCTCAGCCTGCATTCTTATAGAACCCAGGACCACCATCCCAGGGGTGTCCCTACCCACCGACTGGGCCCTTTCTCATAAATCACTAATTAAGAGAATGTCCTATTGGCTTGCCTGCCTACAGCCTGATCTTATAGAGGCTTTTTTTCAACTGAAGTTCCCTCCTCCGATGACTTTAGCTTGTTTCAAATTAACAAAGCCAGGACAGTCACCATGACTGGCTTATGGAAATGGAACCCAGGACGTTATGCATACTAGGCAAGTAATCTTACCAGCTCAACAACATCCCCAGCCATGTCTTTGACATGTTAGAGATTCCTTCCCCATAGTGATTATTATAATATAGCTAGGGACTTTCTTCAGCCTTCCTTTAATTAAGCTAATAGACTCTGAACACTTTGTTCCTATACTTCTCTCTTCATCCTCTCCCAAAGACGGAGGGCTAGATTCTTTCATCTATCCTCAATGGAACTTTGTAAGTTAATTTTAGCTGAATCCTGCATAATGGATATGATCCTAGGAGACCTAGTTTTGTTACGAGTAACTTCTTACTTCGAGTTATGCTCATCACTGCCATAGTCTAGATAATCCTCATTCCTACTGATAAGTAATAAAACTAACAAACATTGTTTAGGGGAGTCTAAGGTTGGTCTGGGAAGTTATAGTCAGATTCTGTTTAAAAAAAAATGTCTGTGAATTCTTAATGGGCATTAGAAAAACAAAGTG